GGCTACACTGCAATCCCTTCTTCATTATCCTCCTTGGATTTGGGGTATGTACAAACATGCACCTACCACGATTTTCTAGCCACCTGGTCTGGGACTCAAACCGCCATAGGACATATGGGAGTCCAGAACCCTAACCACTACACAATCTGCTAACCCCAACATCTTTATTTTCTTTTGTTTCTGAAAGGATTTTGCCTTAGGGCATGTGTGCTCCCAGGGGTAGGGAAGGGGTGGGGACAGACACAGTGAGAGGGTGGGATCTTGGGCACACATGCACCTACACCCAGTGTGAGTTCCAAGCCACCAGGTCCAGGCTTCAAACCATGGTCAGCCATATAAAAGTCCAGGGATGTAACTGCTATGCTATCTGATGGCCCCTAAACGACTGTTTAAAGTGAACCAAGGAACCACACCCAGGTCTCTTTAAGTGCCCTCAGGCTACCTAATAGCAATACCATGTAGTACTACCCATGCACTACCATGGCTGGGCCTACTTTAAGTGGTTTTTTTTTTTTTTTTCCTTCTTTAATTGCCAGAGGGGGAAAAAAAAAGGCAACACTCTCCGCCTCCCCCAGTTATAGGTGGTGAGGCAGCAATTCCTCCTCCTCTATTTCTCCATTCTGTCATACTTTCAGACATGCATGCACCTGTATCTGTTGCGTTTTTCAAGGTACCAGGACCACGATCTGAACTATGTTTAGCCACCTGGGATCTGGCTTCTGACACACTGTGTTTAACCACTGTGCTATGTGGCTGGTTTATATTTTTAGTGTTTAAAACAGGGCATCTTTAGGAGAACGTTAACTTTTCCTTTTTTTTTTTTTTTTTTTTTTTTTTTGCCAAAGGGTATGACCATACATCAGAGACAGGCAGAGAACAAAAGAGAGAAAAGTGAGAAATCACTGCCACAGGGAAGATGCCCACACTGCAATTCCTTTTCATCCATTGTTCCCTTGGGATTTTGGACACATGTGTACATGCACTTGATGTGTTTCTCAAACCACTGGGTCTGAGACTCAAACTGGGAAGTCGGTCACGTGAGATCCAGTTGCCTTAACCTCCATGCCATATGCTGGCCCTCGTTTTTCTAATTTAAGGAGGATAATGAAAATTGTGGAAGACATTCAATGTTTGGGCATAGTATTTAAAGGGTGTTTGAGCCCCAGTTTCCTCCTTTGAAAGTAACTGCCTTCTCTAACTAGTACAATATTTACCTGAGTATCACCTGTTCAATGATGTTGCCATGGAGACATTCTTCTCTAATGTTCCAAAAGATGCTAGTATGTACTTTCCTCACAGCACCTACAACTTTTTATTTAAGTGAATTTTTTATTTTGGAACCATTTTAGATTCATAGTAACATTTAAAAATAGAACAAAGAATTCCCAGTTCCCTCACTTTATACACCTTATACCTTTGTACATTTGTCAAAACTAAGAAACCAACACTGATCCATTATTATTAATGAAACCCCAGAATTTACTTGTATCTTACCGTTCTTTCCACTAATGCCCTTTTTCTGTTCCCAAACCCCACACTGCATTTAGACCAGTACCACTTTGGCACTTACAAACAAGCTGTTCTAAACGGCTTGTGTGTAGGAATTTTACCGTCTCTTTACATCCTCTGCACCTAGTTCAGTGCCTGGCACACATTAGGTGCCCAAGTTTAGTTTCTTCACCCTGCCCTTAGTTTGTTCATGCTTTTATGCAGAAAAGTTGCTCAAGTCAAAAGTGTGAGTGTTATTCGGATTCTTTTCTTTCCCCTCACATCTGCCATCTTACCCATCAGCAAGTCATCATCCGACTTTTAACTCATATGAGTCTCCTTCTCTCCACCTCTACCATTATTCCGGCCCAAGCTACCATTACCTTCTGTTAAGAAGATGACTTTCATCTCTTCTTCCATTCAATGCTCTCTCTATACCAAACCCAGAATGATGTCTTTTTTTCTTTTATCTTTTCTTTTTTTTCTTTAAAAAAAGATACAGTCTTACTTCATTGCCCAGACTGGCCTCAAACTCATAATCCTCCTGCCTTAGCCTCCTAAATAGCTGGGATTATAGGTGTGTGCACCACTGTCCCCAACACAGAATGCTTTCTTTAAAAGTAAATTCGGGGGGAGGGGGGTGGGAGGAGGACTAGGAGATGGTTAATAGGTTAATAGCTATGTCGCTGGGCTCCCACGTAGTAGACCACGGTTCAAGTCCTGGATCTGGGGACTTAAAACTCACACTGGGCGCATGTGCATGCATGCCCAAAATCCTGAGAGGAGAACGGAGAAGGGATTGCAGTGTGGCCATCCCCCCGGGGGGTGATTTCTTGTTTTCTGTCTCTCTGTCTCTTTCTGTATCTTTGGCAAGCACAAGTGCCCTATAGCAAAAATCACTCTTTTTTTTTTTTTAAGTCAACATCTGTGCAGTGATCACAAAATTCAAAAAATGATTTTATCCACCAACAGATATCAGGAGAAGATGGCGATATCATCCATCATGTAGTATCAATTTCACTTTATTGATAGTGCCTTGTTTCTACTTGATAATTTTATGATATTGAGAAAATGTACTGCTGGCCCCAAAAATCACTCTTTAAAAAATAAAAGTAAATTGTAGGGACCAGCAGGTGGTATGGTGGTTAAAGGCACTGGACTCCCACATGGCTGACCACAATTTGAGTCCTGTACCTGGCAGCTTGAAATTGATACTGGGTACACATGCGTACGTGCCCAAAATCCCAAGGGGAATATGGAAGAGAAGGGACTGTGGCATAGCCATCCTTTCTGGGGGGTGATTTCTCACTTTCCCGCTCAATATCTTTCTGTCTCTCTAGTGAGTGCACGTACCTTACAGCAAAAACCTTCAAAAAATTTTTTAGGTTTTTTTTTTTTTTTGGGGGGGTGGTGGGGGCGCATGCACTCACTAGAAAAAGAGAGACAGAGAGACAGAAAGTGAGAAATCACCCCCCAGGGGGGATGGCCACGCCCATTTCTTCTCCTCCATTCTCCTCTCAGGATCTTGGGCATGCACACACACGTGCCCGGCGTGAGTTTAAGCCACCGCATCCCGGACTCAAACTGCAGTTGACTACATGGGAGTCCAGTGACATAACCATTACGCCAACTGCTGGTCCCTAGTTTATTTTTTTAATTTAAAAAAAAAGTAAATTGCCCTCTCTGGTACCCTGGTTCAATGACTATTACACTCAGAATATAATCCAAGCTCCTGATGCCAGTTTATATAGCTTTCTGCTCCCTCTGCAACCTCTAATTTCACTACACCTCTTCCCCTGTGAGCGCCAAGGTTCAAGCTACAATGGCTGCCACTGACTCTTCAAGTCTACTAAGTTTATCAAGTTCATCCCTATCCTGAGGATTTTTTTTTTTTTAAGGTTAGTGCCATAGGGCGTGTACACTCACTGGCAAGAGACAGAGAGAAGGAAAGTGAGAACTCAACACTCAGGGGAGGGGGCTGGCCACACCACAATCCCTTCTCCTCCATTCTCTTTTTGGGATTTTGGGCATGCACATACATGTATCCAGAGTGATTTTCAAGTCGCCAGGTCCCGGACTTGAACCACGCTCTACCATATGGAAGGCCAGGGCCTTAACCACCATGCCACGTGCTGGCCCCTATCCTGAGAATTTCACATGAACCAATTCCTCACCCTGGGGTGCTTTTCTTGATTCTGCATTGTTAGCTCCTTCCTGTCATCTACAGTTCAGAGTAAATCTTTCTTCCTCAGAGAGGCCTTTTCTGACCACAGTCACACCCAGTCTGACCATCCTACTGCTTTTTCCACTGCGTTTCTGCTTGTTGTTTACTGTTTACCTCCTTCACTAGAAAGGAAAGTATGACCTGGTAGTTACAAAGGTGTCTTTCATATATCAAAATTCATCAAGCCATAAACTTAAGATCTATGTACTTTACTATATGTTATTGATACCTCACTAACAATAACAACCTTATATGAGGTCTTTAATGTCTTTACTGCTAAATCTGTAGTTCCTTGAACAACACATAAAAAACAGTATCATTTAAGAAAAAAATGAATCAGTATCTGTCAATGTCATGTTCCCACACGAATATTAAGGAAACAAAGCAAAATCAGATCAGGGGAAAATATATAGAATAAAGTACACACAAGGGGAGCAGCCGCATTACATGGAGACAGTACCGCAGTCTCTAAAGATGCAACCTACAAGTAATAGGAGCCATGATATATGAGGCTTCTTTGTGGCCAGAGTGTATAAATGTGGTTCAAAACATTTATCGGGACCCCCAACTGGCATAATGGCTATGTCGCTGGACTCCCATGTAGTCGACCGCAGTTCAAGTCCCAGACCCGGTGGCTTAAACTCACGCCAGGCGTGTGTGCATGTGTGCTCAAGATCCCGAAAGAAGAATGGAGAAGGGATTGCAGGGTGGCCATCCCTCCTGGGGTGTGATTTCTCATTTTCTGTCTCTCTATCTCTGTCTGGCAAGCGCACACGCCTTATTGCTAAAACCTCTCCCCCCACCAAAAAAAAAACCCACTTACCATAACTACTATATCAATCACTGTTCATAATCAAACACTGTTAAGGCCCACTATATGTTCAGGACCAAGGTAAGTATTTTGTAGGAAAAGTAATTTCTGAATTGTTTTAACCTTCTAGAGAAGTAAGATAATAAAATGGAGAAATAAACATCTCATTCATTAAGACAATGAAGATTTTCCATTTATTATAACATGAACTAAACTGAATTCTTTCAACAACCGTATATATATAGATATAGATATACATCTATATCTATATCTATATCTATATCTATAGCTATATATATACACACGTGTGTGCGCATATATGTATATACACACATGTATACACACACACACACACGTGTGTGCGCATATACAAGGAACTGGTTTCCTGACTATGCCACTCATCTGTTAGGGTATAAGATCTGAAGTATCAAAAGAGGAAAGACAGCATTTAGTCACAGAAAAAGCTTTTCTTCTTACAGGACTTTGCAGAATCATGGACACCCTCTTCTTCTGCTCCATCATATTAAAATCCTGGCGAAGGTCCGGGGCCATGTTCCTCTCCCGCAAGTATTCTGGATTATTTTCATCCACTCTGTCGAAGTATCTCTCCTTATGAGGGGCGGTGGTTGGGGGCGGTGAGGTCACCACTGCAGCTCGAGTATCCCCATTCATTGCACAATCTTTCTAGGTTCCTACAGAATCAAAATAAAAGAAATTATTGTTTTTGAATCAATGAGCAATAGCATTTCATGATGAGCACATCAGTCTGATAAATACAATCTTCAGCATGAAGACACTGACTTACTGACAGTAGCAACTATGATATGTGAAGCTTCTTTGTGGCTCCAGAGGCACATGGCTGTTCAGCAATCTCTGCCCTTCTACCAGCCAATGGCATATTTTGTCCTAGCCACTGTTTCTCAGTACTCAACAAGAGATAAATCTAACAAAGCTTTTATATCTTCTTCTCTCAGATGTAAAAAGAACTAGCTAATAAACTTTTGTCCACATAACACTTCAAAGTCATGATGTATCTCACACAGAGAGAATCTGTTAACAGCAGCATGGTTCTTTTCTACAGGAATATGATTTCTTTCATTTTCAAAAAAAGTATTGTACTGATTTTGCAAAAAAATTCTTCAAACTGATGAGCAGGAGAGAAGCTGTTCACATATTTGTATTTATGCTCATTACCACCGCCTTTTTAGTTCAAAGAAGAACAGTAGGTATTAGAAATGACAATATGCCCCAAATTTGTGATTAAACTAAAAAGATGCCAGGATGGTTCGAATTTAAAAATCTGCTAATGTGGTTACTTATTTCACATACTTTTTAATCTCAGTCTTTTATCTGAAACAATTTTCAAATGTACTAAATTATGTTCATCCTTAACTATTAAATCTTTTAGCAGTATATTTACTAAGCATACAAGAAGTTCACTTTCTTTTAACTATTTAATTTTATTAATTATCATCATTATTATCTTAATTTGCTATAGGGCACATACACTCACCAAAGAGAGAGTGAGAAAGTGAGAAAGTGAGAAAGCACGTCACCAGGTCCTAGACTCGAAACATGGTCAGCCATCATGCCACCTGCTGGCCCCAAGAATTCACTTTCTAAACTGTCTACAAAACACTGACCAATAGCTTTAACAGGGTATATACAGTGTTTAATAATATATATGAAATGTTTAGTACATATGTAGTATTTAACCACCTATTAAATCCTGTCAATTTGTGCTGGGCACAAATTAATTAGACATGCTGTGAGAGTTTGATTTACAATTTAGCAGGGGAGACAGACTCATTGTAAAAGGAGATGTTTACAAGAGAGTCATCTGCTACAGAGCTGGGTAGATTCACTAAAGGTGAGGAAAATGACCAGCAGAGGAAGATAGTATTGCCAAGAAAATAAAACCAGTACCTAGCACAGTTCCCAGGATATTATGGGTGTACAAATTAAAATAATAATAGGTGTTGAATAAGAAAGAGAAGATAAGAGATAAGACAACGGCGTAAGTTAAGGCACTGGACTCCCACATGGTCTACTGCAGTTCAAGTTCTAGACCCGGCAGCATGAAAATCATGCTGGATACCTGTGCACATAAACAAATCCCAAGAGGAGAATGGAGGAAAGGGGATTGTGGTATGGCCATCCATCTTGAGGGATGAGTTCTCACTCCCTCTTATTATCTGTTTCTTTCCAGTGAACACATGAGCCCAACATCAAAAATCTTTAAAATAAATAAATAAAAATAAATAATTTTTTTTTTTAAAAGAAGAAGCACCAATAGATGGTATAATAGTTACATCGCTGGATTCCTACAGAGCTGACTGCAATTGAACCCCTGGACCCAGCAGCTTAAAACTCATGCCAGCAGTGGGACCAGCAGGTAGTGTGGTGGTTAAGGCACTGGACACTCCCACATGGCTGACAACAGTTCGAATCCTGGACCTGGTGGCTTGCTTTCTCACTTTCCTCTCTCTCTCTGTCTCTCTCTGGTCAAATTAAAAAAAAAAAAAAATGAAGGAATGAACGAATAAATAAATCTTAAAAAACAAAACAAAACAAACAAAAAAAAAAACAACTCATGCCAGGAGTATGTGCATGCATGCACGCCCAAAATCCCAAGAAGAGAATAGGGGAGAAAGGATTGCAGTGTGGCCAGCCCTGTTGGAGGGTGATTTCTCGCTTTCTGTTTATCTGGCGAGTGCACGCACCCTATAGCAACAATCTCTCTTAAAAAAAGAAAGAAAGCAGCTCAGAGGCCATATGCAGAGTTTACTGCTACTGTTATTTTAAGACAGGGTCTCACTATGTCCTGACCCACCTCCCTCAGATTTCCCCATAACTGAGATCACAGGTACATGCCACCATCTCCAGCTTCCAAGGTAGACTGGAAATTGAACCTGGGCCTCCTCAGCCTGAGCAGCAACTTCAACCATCATGTGTTACTGTGGGTGAGCCTCGGCAGAGAGTTTTAACAGTAAATGACTGACCAATGGTTTCTCAAGCAACAAAGATAAAGAAGGTAGAGATGTAAAGACTTGAATTAAATTAGCAACTAAAAATGTAACCAGTGCCCCTTCTTTATATTTTAAACAAAAACTAATTCTAGGGGCTGGCAGGTGTAATAGTGGTTAAGGGCACTGGACTCCCACATGGTTAACCGTGGATCCAGTACTGAACCCAGCAGCTTGAAACTCACACCAGGCACATGTATGTATGTACCCAAAATCCCGAGAGGAGAGTGGAGAAGGGATTGTGGTATGGCCATCCCCCAGGGGGGCCGGGGGGTGATTTCTCACTTTCTTTCTCTGTGTCTCCAATAAGCACACATACCCTATAGCAAAAAAAAAGGGTAGGGGGAGACCCCCAGGAGAGTAGAGGAGAAGGGATGCATCCCCCCAAGGGGGGTGGTTTCTCACTTTCTGTCTACCTCTTTCTCACTCTGGCAAACATAAGCAAAAAAAAAAAAAAAAAAATCCTTTAAATATTTATTGGGGGTGGGGGCAGCAGGTGGCATGGCACTAGACTCCCACACATAGCCAACTGCAGTTTAAGTCCTGGAACTGGTAGCTTACTTTCTCACTTTCCCTCTGCCTCTTCTCTGCCAAGCATGCTCCTCCTGTAGCAAACTTAAAAATAATAATAATGATAAATAAATTTAAATAAATAATTGTTTTTAAAAATTGGAGAGGGAAAGATTCTTCAAAAAGTTAATAGAAAATGTGTATTATGAAAAAAACTACACATAGATTTCAAAAAATTCTGCACCAAAATAAACTTGTACTTGGGACAAGCAGTTAGCATAATGGCTATGTTGCTGGACTCCCACGTAGTCGACCGCGGTTCGTGTCCCAGACCCGGTGGCTTAAAACTCACACCAGGCGCGTGTGCGCATGTGCCCAAGATCCCGAGAGGAGAATGGAGGAGAAGGGATTGCAGCGTGGCCCCCCCCCGGGGGGGTGATTTCTCACTTTCTGTCTCTCTGTCTCTCTGTCTGTCTGGCGAGCACATGTGCCCTAAAGCAAAAACTTCTCCAAAAAATATATATATATATAAAATAAAATAAATTTGTACTTTAATTCCAGATTTCCGTTGTTTTTTTTAAGATTTCCATTAATTTTTTTAAGTCCCTTAAAATAGGTGAACCATGTCTCCAGGGGGTAGGAGAGGATGGAATCAAGGGCATAGGTACAAAGACTGGCCTTGAACAAGACCCAACCTTGTGAGTCTGAGCTGGTCCTACTACTTTTTAATGTGCATATGAATCACCTGGGTATCACCTTGGGTATTAATACACAAATTTAGATTCAGTAGGTCTCCAGTAAGAACTGAAATTCTGCATGTCTCATAACTTTCCAAGTAATATTAATGCAACTGAACTTGAGTCATATTTTGGACAGCAAAGCTTGAAAAAACAGTCTGTTGGGGGGGGATTTATGATGATATCAGCTATCAAAGAATCTTGGATACTGTGCTTCTAAACCTAAAGATATGTCAGAAGTAGCAGCATGGCTCAAAGTAGCACTATCCTAAGGACTTAAAGACAAAGTATAAAAACAACTGGGTAAACATCAGTGTAGACTAAATGAACTAATGACCTGTTAACCTAAAAAGGAAGGCTGAGGTACAGTAAGTGAAGTGAAAGAAATTCATTTTGTGCCGAGGGCTGAGGATGATTTGCCTGAGTGACACGTTATAGTTGTCTAGAATATGTACACCAAAATAGCTAACAAGAAAAATAGTTTATATAGCAAAGAAAAGGACAAGAAGAGTGGAGGGTACAAGTTGTTTGTTAAGAATTTACACTTATCCATTCAAAATAACTTATGCAATTGATTGGCTATACAGTTTTTCTTTTTATGCCAGAGGATACATGACAGAGACAGAGCAAGAAAAAGCATCTCCCAATAGAGCCTGGTCACCCCACAATCCTTTTTCACCCATTTCTCTACCAGTCAGTATTTTGGGCATGCATGCACATGTGTCCAGCATGTTTTTCAATCCACCAGGGCTGAGACTTGAACCTCGTTCTATCATGTGGGATCTGACTCCTTATGCACAGTGTTTAACCACTACACTACAGACTGACCCAACATACATTATTCTTTACATCACAAATTTTGGCAACACAGATGAAAAAAAGGTGAGAGGCACACTGGAAATCTATAACCATTTGTGATGTCTGTTTACTATAAACTAAAACATACCTTTTGGATAATAACACTAATGTGTATGGGGTGTATCCAAGACCTCAATGCTCATGCCTCCTCTGGGATTAGCAGACCTCCCATTCCATAGACTGCTCTGAGCTGGCTCTTCTTTCTCAGATATAAATAGACTTTAAAATTTATTCTTCTCTAAATAAATTCTTTCTTATTATTTGTTATTTTTATTTTATTTATTTTTAAAGTTTGCTTTAGGGCATGTGTGCTCACCAGAGAGAAAGAGAAAGCAAGCCACCAGGTCCAAGACCCAAATTATGGTTAACCCATGTGGGAGTCTAGGGTCTTAACCACCACGCCAGCGGCTGGCCCTTCTAAACACGTTCTTCGATTTTTAAAATTTAATCTGTTGGGACCAGCAGGTTAAGGCACTAGATTCCCCCTTGGCTGACCACGATTAGAGTCTGGGACCAATAGCCTGAAAATCACACCAGGCTCATGTATACACGTGCCCAAAA